ATGCGTTGTTGTAGAAGTTGATAGCTGCAGTCATGATGCATGTTTTGTAAAGAAAAAAAAAGAACTAGAGAAGCCTTTAACTAATTTTAACTAATGACTCTCTGTTGCTCTGTTGCAATGTTCTTCATTTTATGAGGAATTCTTCTTTGTGAAACCAACTCTTTATGAGTTCCTAGAACAGAACAGAGTCGACCTTCTTTATGTGCTTATTTAGCTTTTTTTAGTCATTTGCCCTGATGCTGTCACCCCAGGAGGTTATTGCAGAAGATCTTACACTCTCCACATCAGACTAGCAGCCGAAACACTGAAGAACTACTGTAAGCCAGAGGTGGGGACTCGAGTTTGTGACTCGTACTCGAGTCGCACTTAAGTCGCATATTAAATGACTTCAGACTCGACTTAGACTTGCATTTGAAGGACTTCAGACTCGACGAGACTCGAGATTTCTGACTTCTGAACAATATATATTTTTTAAGTGTTTTTTGTTTTACTAGCTTGATTGATCGCCGCTCGCCTTACCCGCACACAGCAGAGGTAAAAAAAAATATAAAAAACTGGCAGAGGCGCTGTCAAACAATAATGTAGCACTGATGTCACTGACCAGTTCAACATAAGGATCATTCCATAGATATAATAGTGACCTTTAAGCTATACCGTCTCAGTGAAGGAGATAAAAACACAAGGAGAAACAAGCAAGCACGCAAATAGACTTGGACTTGAGCTCTCAAGACTCGAGAATTGACTTGGACTTAAGCTCTCAAGACTTGAGACCTGACTTGGACTTGAGCTCTCAAGACTTGAGACCTGACTTGGACTTGAGCTCTCAAGACTTGAGACTTGACTTGGACTTAAGCTCTCAAGACTTGAGACCTGACTTGGACTTGAGCTCTCAAGACTTGAGACTTGACTTGGACTTGAGCTCTCAAGACTTGAGACTTGACTTGGACTTGAGCTCTCAAGACTAAAGACCTGACTTGGACTTGAGCTCTCAAGACTTGAGACCTGACTTGGACTTGAGCTCTCAAGACTTGAGACCTGACTTGGACTTAAGCTCTCAAGACTTGAAACCTGACTTGGACTTGAGCTCTCAAGACTTAAGACTTGACTTGGACTTAAGCTCTCAAGACTTGAGACCTGACTTGGAATTGAGCTCTCAAGACTTGAAACCTGACTTGGACTTGAGCTCTCAAGACTTAAGACTTGACTTGGACTTGAGCTCTCAAGACTTGAGACCTGACTTGGACTTGAGCTCTCAAGACTTGAGACCTGACTTGGACTTGAGCTCTCAAGACTTGAGACCTGACTTGGACTTGAGCTCTCAAGACTTGAGACCTGACTTGGACTTAAGCTCTCAAGACTTGAAACCTGACTTGGACTTGAGCTCTCAAGACTTAAGACTTGACTTGGACTTGAGCTCTCAAGACTTGAGACCTGACTTGGACTTGAGCTCTCAAGACTTGAGACTTGACTTGGACTTAAGCTCTCAAGACTTGAGACCTGACTTGGACTTGAGCTCTCAAGACTTGAGACCTGATTTGGACTTGAGCTCTCAAGACTTGAGACCTGACTTGGACTTGAGCTCTCAAGACTTGAGACTTGACTTGGACTTAAGCTCTCAAGACTTGAGACTTGACTTGGACTTGAGCTCTCAAGACTTGAGACCTGACTTGGACTTGAGCTCTCAAGACTTGAGACTTGGACTTAAGCTCTCAAGACTTGAGACCTGACTTGGACTTGAGCTCTCAAGACTTGATACCTGACTTGGACTTGAGCTCTCAAGACTTAAGACTTGACTTGGACTTGAGCTCTCAAGACTTGAGACCTTACTTGGACTTGAGCTCTCAAGACTTGAGACTTGACTTGGACTTGCAAAAAATGACTTGTGAACATGTCTGCAGTAAGGTGTCTTATGAAGTTCAGTCTACTCTGTCCCTTCTTGTTGATGACTTCATACTTGATTCTCGCATTAGGTGTGTTGTCCAGATCAATGCAAAGGTATTTACATTCCTCCACCACCGCCTATTCTTCTTCTTTGTTGATGTTTGTGGGATTTGACTTGTTTCTGTTTCTACTGAAATTGATTGATTGATTGATTGATTGATTGATTGATTGATTGATTGATTACTTTATTAATCTCACAGTGGAGAAATGTACTCGTTATATCAGCTTAAATAGTAAAAAAAAAAAAAGCATGAAATTCTGAAAAAGAAGTACGGTGTATATACAGTATATACATTGCATCCACAAATGACAGCTTTTTCTTAATAGCAGGATCATTATACAGGGTTATTGCTCAGGGTGTTTAAATGGGTATATATATATATATATATATATATATATATATATATATATATATATATATATATATAGATATTGCACTGGGTGTCAAATATAAAGAAGCAGGTTAATGCACAGGGTATGAAAAAGTAATTGCACATTATACATTGCACAAGTTATTGCCATTGTAGTGTCGAAATCTACGATCATCTCCTTCATGTTGTTGAATAAGGATCATGTTATTGTTTCCATATCATTCCAAAAATCAGTGCAACACCTCCTTGCACTCAGCTCCATGTCCATATCTGATGTCCCCAACAAATGCTGAGTCATCTGAGTATTTCTACAGTTTTGAGGACTGAAAGTAGACAGGAATGGTGAGCATACTGTCCCCTGTAATTCTCCTGCAGTGCTCCTATGCTGCTGACTACCTGATTAGACAGATGATCCTTCAGTGTCACAAACTGAAGTCTGTTTGTCAGGTAGTCTTTGATCCAGGGGATTGTCGAGGCTTTCACTTGAATCTTCTGGAGTTTCTTACAAAGAAAATCAGGCTGAAACTTGTAGAAAAAAAGAAAAAATATATGCATACGCTTAAATTCATCTAACACTTCTGCACTATGATGTGTAAATGAATAAGATACAATCCAAATGTATTAAATCAATGAAAATTCAACAAAGGGGGCTGCTCAGGGGGTACCACTGCTGCCTTGGAGTAAGAAGGTTCTGGGCTCGAATCCCGGCCCGGGGTCTTTCTGCATGGAGTTTACAGTCCAAAAATATGACTGTTAGGTTAATTGGCTTCTTTAAATTCTCCTTAGGTGTGTGTGTGAATGGTTGTTTGTCCTGTTTGTCTCTTTGTTGCCCTGCGATGCACTGGCAACCTTTCCAGGGTGTACCCTGCCCTTGCCCGTAGACAGCTGGGGATAGACACAAGCAAAATGGATTGTTGGATGGAATTTAAGAAAGGTTTAATAGGTATAAAACTTGAGCAAGGTACTGTATGGAGTCTGATAAAAGAGTTTCCCCTGCAACCCAACTGTTGTTGGTAAAAATGTTCTTGAGCAAGACACTTTTCCTGCATTACCTACTGATGGTGGCCAGTGTGTGGCAGCTTCACTTCTCCCAGTGAGCCCCAGGGCAGCTGTAGCCTCGTGAGACCATCCTGATCTCGCAAGCTTTCAAGATTTCACTCGCTAATCAGTCTGGAGACTCTCCGTTGAAGAAAATTTGGAGCCGTTCACCAAACGAACGTCCAATCAGCGTTGGCTTTGAGGCGGGTTGAGGTGTGACGCAGTGAGAAGCGCGACAGTTCAGTCTAAAGAACATGGCGGCTTCAGCCGATGAAACTAGCGTTAGCGTGGCTATCGAGCAAGTTTTATCGGAATTACAGAGTATTTCTTCACTGAAAGAATAGCAAAACACTGCTCTGGAGGCTTTCCTCAGAGGAAAATATGTTTTTGCTCTTCTCCTGACTGGTTTCGGCAAGAGTAGCCTGGCTTGTGGTTGTGTTTTCGCTGTCGCTCTGTTAGTACGTCATATGCTTCGTTGATCTGATTGGTTTATTTGGCCCGTCTATCACCAACATAGGCCAATCAGCTAACCAGTATTCTCGCCCCTTCCCAAAATTACTTCAATGAAAGGTTTCCAGATGGATTTGCTCCGCATATCCATCTGGCCGAGTCAGGTTAGTACGTGAATGGGTGAATGACTGAATGTAGTGTTTTGGTCATTCTCCTGACTTGAAAAATTGCTAAGTACAGGCCATTTACCGTCACAGCAAAGGTCCCTATTTTCCCCCGATACTTTCTTATCAATATAACACGGTAGTCAAGCATGTATGGGCAAAAACACTGTTTGCTGCAATAGTCATGATTCCACATGTTCAAAACAGTTTTATTTAATTTTCAATCCACCCAGATTTAAAGGTGTTTACCATGTATTACCTATTCCTGTAATGCAGTCATATTCCCTTTGCTATCCCTCACCTCTGCATTTGTTTAGATGGCCTCTTTTATGTGTGACCTCCAAAATAAAAATGCCCTTGAATTGTGCTGTCTTTATGGGGGGAAAAAAAGGCTAGCTATCTTGGGGAAAGCATGCAGGCGCAGAGAGCAGCCTAACCCCTCCCATGGTTCTCATCATAGCCAAGCATATTATCATTGTCTGAGGGAGCTCAAAACCAAGACAGGGTGTCATGCCAAAGCCTGGCTTTTATGAGGGGTTTTATATTCATTTGATGATCTTGGGGGCCTCTGTTTCCTGAGTGGATTATCCATATATGCCAGTGCTGAGCCCTTTTTATATTCAGCACTGCGGCAGAGTCAATAAGGTCCATTCTGCATACAATATTCAAGATTATACAAGACAGACAGCATAATTCACACTCAATCAGAATACAAATGCCTGCATACGGCAGAGACATTCATTGGAATACAAACAGCTGATTCGCAGGGCTGGGGTTGGATCAGTCACGATCACCTTGCTATGGTCACACAGACGCTACGCAACACAAAAATAGAAAATTCATTGTCTATGCTTGATGAGGATGAGGCTTTCTTGCATTTTAGAATGGTCCTCTACTGTAAGAGGACGGTGGTCTTGAAGGTTACCTTTTGCCTTTGCTCTGTGCTTTTTACACGAGCTTCATTAATTTGATGTGCAAAATATATCTGTCCTGTTATTAACTGTGTCTGTGTTCTATGAACTGTTTCCATCTGCAGCTACCATAAAAATTGCTCTCCATGGGATGGATCGGGAGATGAGAGAGGAGTACCAGGTGGTCATTCAGGCTAAAGATATGGGAGGTCATATGGGCGGCTTGTCAGGAACGACCACAGTGACTGTCACTCTCACGGACATTAATGACAATCCACCCAAGTTCAACAAAAGTAAGTAACTTTCATAAATCTATCAAGAAACACATGCTCCATGGAGTTTCTTTTCAGTTGGTTTCTGGAAATCTAAAATGTCTATTTTTTTAATTTATTCTTTATTTTTTAGGTTTGTATGAGTTTGGGATCCCTGAAGACTTGCCGATAGGGAAAACAGGTGGTAAGGTGAAGGCGGACGATCGAGACATTGGGGAGAACGCAAGGTCGACTTACAGCATCATTGAGGGAGATGACTTGGGCGCATTCGAGATCGTCACAGATGCACAGACACAAGAGGGCATTCTCAGGCTAAGAAAAGTGAGACCAAAAAGCTTCAACTTCATCTTTTTAAACTGCAGAGAGAAGAAAGTCCTCTTATTGCTTAAGTTAAATATTAATCAATATTTTTCTGTTTTGGTGTATTCCAAATATTTTCATTGCAACGGCTGTATAAAATCCAGCTCTTCAGCAACACATAAGGATCCAAGGCCACCAAATTTCCTCAGAGACATTAACTGTGGACCTCCAAGCTTCATGTAGCCTTTAGACTGATAAAATAAAAGTCATAAAGAGCTTCATAAAATAGGTTTTCATTAAGCACTTCCATCCAACCTTTACATCATCAAGGTCAATGTTTTGGTGCAAAGCGTGAGACTCTGGAAAGATGGAGGTCCTTCTTGCAGAACATAATTTTGTCTCTTTGGGGAGTTAGGGTGTGGCCATGGGTCCAGCAGGGTATGGAATGGTTCTTTGGAGGTTGTATTCATCTTTCATAAAGCCAGGCATACACTGTCAGATTTTTTCAATGGTTGCATGTAGAGATGTCTCGATCCAGGTTTTTGCACTTCCGATCCGATACCGATATTGTTTTTAGACTTCCGATCCGATACCGATACTGTCCGATACCAGCCTATTCAAGCATGTATTTAAGTTTAAGTTAAAGTATTTAGCCTTAGTTGTAAGACTCATGTTGAAAAGGGTTTTAGTACTCTTGATAACATCTAGCCAGCTGAATTAGGAGAGATTGAATAAAACACAATGATTGGTAACAACAAACTTACCTGTTTATTAAGAGATAAACACAAACTGGACAAAATTTTGAATAGCAATCTGAAATTGCACAGTGAACAGTAAAACCGTAAACAGTTAAAGGTGCAAGTATAAATGTAAGTTTTAATAAAAATGCAAAACAGACAAGAGTGGAAAATATTCTATTAACTTAGAATCAGGACTCAACTCTTAAAAAAAGACACTGCTTAAAAAAAAAATCAGTGCAAAGAACAGTGAACTATTACACAAAAATGCCTTAAACTCCCCAATCTCCTCCACACCTAGTCTCCATCTACACATCGTGCAGGATAAAATAATCCCACACGGCTGACATTTTACCCGCTATCTCCCAATTCACCTGTTTTAATGGTTAGGCCGGGAGACAGACCCAAAAAGACCTGTGGGTGTGTTGAAGGTGTTCTGGAAAAGGCGGACCAGATTCGGGGAACACGGGTGCAAAATAGTGGAATGGATCGTTTTTTTTTTTTTTTTAACTGGATCGGCAGTCTGGATCGGCATTTTTACATTCTTTGCCGATACGCATTTTTTTGCCAATATCGGCATCCGATCCGATACGTGGATTGGATCGGGACAAGCCTAGTTGCATGCAGCTACAGCTCACACTGCACGACTAAACCACAGGGTCACAGCTCACGATGTTTGTTCTCACACTGTGCGGCACTACGCTCTTTTGCGATCTACTTGCTCACACTGCACATCTAAAAACTAAATTAGTGTGAATCACCGTCTTCTTCTCTAACTAACTAGCATAATATTAATGGTAATAACCACTAATAAACCCTTTGTTCTTGCTACAGACATTTCATCTATGTTACTTAAGGGACAAGTTAAATGCGTTGCCTTGTGGTTGCTAGCTTTTATCTCTGCTGTGTGACATAAAACATTGGAGTCTGCTTTCCTTCTTGGTCGTTAAAATACTAACATTTCACTAACAATTAAAGTAGACGTGCAACAAGATCTCCAGCAAAGATATCTTAAGATATTAAAACGCCACAACATTTCTTGTCAATGAAGCCTGTATTGCAAAGTGTTATGAGTTTGCTGGCAGCATGCATTTATAGCTCTTTATTTTATGGGCTCTGCATATGAAGGTGTGTGTTTTGAGCTTGACATCCTGTATCTATGCAAGAAATGAAGTGGATTAGCATTGTTTTGCAAATGAAGTTAATTGGTTGACAAAACACACTAATAAACACTGAAAAGGCCTGTGCAACTTTTCAATTTTGTGAGTGGCAGATTTTGGTTAAATAGTGAAATAATGACCACTATCCACCTGTTAAAGGTTAGTTAGCCTCTCTAAGCCATCATTAATGTATGTATTCATGGTTATTTCTTTTTGTTGTTAACCCTATAATGCAAAATGTATCGTATTTGATACATACGGTTTCTGAAATGTTTTGCGTCTGACACCTTTTGCATAATTTAATGGTAAAAACTTTGCTCAAAATCCTATTGCACACAATCAGATACGCCTGATAACAGAGGGCAGAAGACTACACAAAAAATAATCTTGACTTATCGCATAGTAAAAAATTATTAATATAAAAAATGAATTTCTGTTTTTTTTTTTTTTTACATATTTTGTTAAAAGGGCAAATAAGGAATTCAAACAAAAAAAAAAGTAATTTTCTGTTTTGTTTTATTCTTGGATCGGGCTTTAAAGGGTTAACCTGGGTATACAAAATCAAGGAATAATGAGTAGCTTATATAGTAGCATTTTCTTGTAAATTGTAAAATCTGCAAGTAAACAATAACATTTAGTGTTATTGTTCTGTTTTGTTTCTGCAACCCTTTAATTTTGAACAGATCTCTGGCAGAAACATAGCTTTGTTGTTTTTTATAGCATGTTTGCTTAAATAAAACAGAAACTAAATAATTGGCGAATAAATCGTATTACTTTGCTTCTACAGAAAAGAAATATTAATTTCATTAGTGAACGCATTGAGCGTGAACATAAGGATTTAAAGAATTTATTTCTTAGACTACAACCACATCCTCATTTTCTAACCCTTTTTTTGGTTTAATGGGAAGGAACAAAAACAGACGATAAAAGACGGTATAAAAGACCTTAACAAATGATGTTTCATTTTAATACAATTTAAGATGGTTTTGCTGTAGATATTTTCACAAGTCTACTTCAATGTTTATTCAAAAGCTTTCATGAGAAAAAAAGAGACTCTAACATTGTTTTAGAATCGTCCTTTTCCCTACAGTGTCTTAGGGGCTAAAAGAAAAATCAGTGTCTGTCTCATTTATGGCTAAGGGTTTGCAAATATCAACCAATCACTTAAATTATCTACTAAGTGCAGTATTATCTAATTCTGGTTTGATTAATGTCAGTTATTTATATTTTAAACTTGATTGGATCAAATCCAGTCCAGACTCATTAAAAAAAGTAAAATGACCCATTTAGTTAAGCATTAATATAAAACCCCAAAACACACCCTGTTATTAGAATTACTAGTGGTTACTAGTTTACTAGGGTTATTCTAATAGATTTTACAAGTTGTGTAGATCTCCTCTCTCATTCTGTTTTGTGCCGTTAAATAAAATAAACAAAAGGTGGAAATTCTTTATTTTCCCTTTGTCTCACACAAAAAAGTACAGAGTGTCAAACCTAAAGTATACAGCTTTTAATAGTAGCAGGGGGGATTTTAACCTGACTCCGCCAGATGGATTTGCTTTGCATATCCATCTGGAAACCTTCCGTTGAAGTAATTTTGGGAAGGGACGTAAATACTGGTTAGCTGATTGGCCTATGTTGGTGATAGACGGGCCAAATAAACCAATCAGATCAATGAAGCATATGACGTACTAACAGAGCGACGACGAAAACACAACCACAAGCCAGGCTACTCTTGCCGAAACCAGTCGGGAGAAGAGCAAAAACATCTTTTCCTCTGAGAAAAGCCTCCAGAGCAGTGTTTTGCTCTTCTTTCAGTGAAGAAATACTCTGTAATTCCGATAAAACTTGCTCGATAGCCACGCTAACGCTAGTTTCATCGGCTGAAGCCGCCATGTTCTTTAGACTGAACTGTCGCGCTTCTTGTTGCGTCACACCTCAACCCGCCTCAAAGCCAACGCTGATTGGACGTTCGTTTGGTGAACGGCTCCAAATTTTCTTCAACGGAAAGTCTCCAGACTGATCTGCGAGTGAAACCTTGAAAGTTCGCGAGATCAGGATGGTTTCATGAGGCTAGGGGGATTTACCATTGGGCAATACTAGGCAGTTGCCTAGGGCCCCCAGTTTCTGGGGGCCCCATAAAACTTGGTTTACATTTCAAAAAAATCCTTTCCCTAACATGCCATCAGAATTCTTATAATATTAAGTGTGTCTCAGCCCCGCCCAATACTCCATTTGCTGCACATGTTCAGAAAGGTCCAAACAGACAGCAGCAAACCGTTTGAAAACAAACCATGCAAAGAGCAGTGTTGCCAACTTAGCGCTTTAGTCGCTATATTTAGCCACTTTTCAGACCCCTCTAGAGCTTTGATTTCTAAAAAGCTCCTAGCGCCAAATCTAGAGACTTTTTTCTGCTACGGGAGACTTTGGAGACAACATCTAAAAGCAGCGAACTCTGCTCTCCAGAGCGAGTAGATTGGTAACCCCGCCTCCTGCTCTCCTCTATCTTGTCTGCTGTCATGATTCATGCAGCTATTATTTCATCCAAATGAAAAATGGAGAACAGATAAGCAGATCATGGCTTGTCTACAGTGAAAAGAAGGACTGGGTTATTTACTTTGGCCTTTTTGGAAACACAGGAAGGAGCAATCAGCTAAGTGAGCTTAGTGCTTGGAAAAAATCTTTCATTCCTTTAGAGACAGCATGAAAAGTCAGTCCAAAACATAGAGAGGAAAACAACAAAGAAGGGACAAAAAGAGAGGGACAAAATCTAGAACAGATATTGGATGTCTATTCTATTAACATTTCTCTATCTATAGAATTTCCTAAATCCGCCCCTGAAGAGCAGTTAGTGCTCACTATAACAGACACGCTAGTTAGTTAGTTAATATATTACATCATTTGATATAATCCCTCAAACGTGATGACATCACACCCCAATAATCAAATCACTTCTACTTCACTTTTTCTTTCAGATCAGAAGTTTAAGAAGTCACTGCCTAGATATCATTGCTTGTAAGAGGGCATTTAAAATCACTCAATTTATCATTATAGATAGGGCTAAAGTTGAAATCCATTAGATTCTGTAACATGATATGGCAGTAGTAAGATTTTGACTGCCATT